TCAGCAAAATCCAAGAGCTTCCACCTGCATTACAACACACAATCCATCTATGTTACTCGAACTTGAATTAAATATCGAATACTGGTGTATTTCAATCATCATACTCATGTAACATACCAGCTCTGCTCAACAAGGACCTGAAGCTCTTGTAGACCTTTTGCAACCTTATTGCTGCCTCCATTTGTGGGTTGTTTGAATCTGGAATCTGGGATTTTCTCGGGGATTCCGGGGGGAAATCTGGGGATTGAATTTCCATTGCTTTGCTCTTTAAACCCTCTGGCTTATCCAAATCTCTCCCTTTGAAGCTAACAGATCCTTCCAAAATCATCTTCCCAGAACCTAATGATTTTAGAATGGTGGGTTCTGAAACTGAGATTTTGAAACTGATGGATCTAAGTGGTGTTTTGATTCCTTCATCTCCAAAAGTAATGGATTTCACAGTGATTGATTCTAAGCTGTCATTGTCCATCTCAGTGCTGCTGCATTTATCAAATGGCCACGAGAAACCAACACCCATCTCTGTCAAACAACTGAATTCAGATTTCATATGCTAAACAAAAATATATATGCGTGTCTGTGTGTGTGAACAGAAGCCATTTTTGAGAGTCAAGAGCACAAGTTGAAGATGACACATTTTTCATAATGTCAGTGCAAAGGAAAATATCATTCCACTCAATCAAGAAAATCAAATAAAGATCTCTGGATCTGCCAATACCATCAAGTAAAAGCAATTCCAAGAAGCTTAGAACACTCATTTCATCAACAAAAAGAAACAGCATTTGGCAGCAATGTAGTAGAGATAGACAAAGAACATTACCTTCAACTGTATAAAATCTGGGGGAAAATGAAAATGAAAAATAGGGTACAATCGGGTTAATGCTTTAACTTTGATATCAGCTTCTTTTTTCCTTCACTTTCTCTCTGTTTGTTTCTCAGGAAAATGAAATTGCCAAGGATAAGTTGTACCTGGGATTGCTTATACAATGGCGTGTATATAGAAATTTAAAGACCCAAAACAACGTTGTTATTATTAATTGAAAATTAAAGCTTTAAAGAGTTGGTGGTTGAAGCTTCCATGCATGAGTTGCTTTCATGGGGGAGATGACCCACTAGTATACTTGGAAATCCCAGAAGAGAATTTGAATCTTGATAGGTTAATTTAAAAATAAAATAAAAAGTATATATTTAAAATTATTATGTCAAATTTATTATTATTTCTTTCATGCGAGAAATATAAATATAATTCAAATGTCAAAAATAATTATTGTAATTAAAAAAGTAGTTAGGAAGGAGAAGATATTAAAAATAATTCAAATGTCAAATTAATAAAATGTTATCTCGAGATATAATTAAAATGAGCAAATATTTCAAAAAAATTTAACTGAAAATATCTTTAAATTGTATCTTTTATTTGGGTGTTTAATTTTTTTTAACAAAATAATATTTTAAATTATTTTCAAATTATTCATTAAAAATACTATATTCCATTGATAAGTTGTTAAAATCTTGGAAGTTTTTTTTTCACTTAACTCGACATTATAAGCGAAATCGAAATGTTTTGAGATTAATCTTTAGAGTTGTGGTATTGATTTCACTTTCGTATAGATCAATTTTCGTAATCGAAATATTTAAGAAAAATGAGACGAATTATTTTTTTATTTCGAAAAAAAAAATAGTGAAAATATAAGGATCAAAATGGATATACTAAGAATATATGAACTTTCAAAAAGATTGTTTTAAAAATTATAAAAAGATCCTCCATATAGACGATGTTTTTTACAATGTATGTTAACGTAAATTTTATATTGTGTTTGTTAAATGTTATGGGTTCGAACACTAACGACTGCATAGTTAAATGACCGTTTATTATTAAATAATTAAGAGTATTTAGAATATATATTAATTTATAATCATTTTAGCTTATTAAAAAAATTATATTATGTTTTTAACATTTGTTTAGTTAAAAATCAAAATGAACGAAATATTGAGTTGAAAAATTATACGAATATTTAAAAAAAATAAGTAAATATAAAAGATATATATTTATAATAACATAAATCGATCAAACGCAGCTTAAATTGTAATTTAGATATTAATTTAAATATATAGTGATTAAAGTTATAACCTGATGCAAAGAAAGCATTGAAATTGTCATAGCGTGTGGCATTTCATCAAACACGTGGTGCAGTGTAAAAGTGTCCGATGTCAGCTTAAAAGTTGAGCTCCCTAGACAAAACAAAAGAAAATCCAGCGAGAAAATCCTCAGTCGCTGACTTTCTGTTTCCTTTTACTACCGCCTTTGTTGGCGGTGCACAGCAGCGTATCACCAGTCAGTCAGTCAGCCACGCCAGACATTTAAGCAAAACGCGTATCTTTTCATTTACCAGCTGAGCTACCACACTGCCATTTTCTTCTTCAGCCCCATGCTGTGGCTTGAATTCATTCTTCTACCATATATATCTAAACTCAAAATAATAAAATACCTAGATAAATAAAAATTAATAATTAACGTTGATGTATATTATTAATATGTGATTGTCATGTATAGAAAATAATGGCATGATACACATTATATTTCAAGTAATTAAAATGATGACATAGTACATATCATATATGAAAAATTCTAACATGACATATTATGTGTCGAAAATAATGTAACACATATTATATATTTAAAAATGATCATGATATGTCAAATGTGATGATGCAACAACCTCATGTAAGCAACGACAATAAAGAGTCATTTATTTTATAATAAAACACCAAGGGATCAAATTACTCTACAAAAGGAACATGAATCAAAAAGAATATTAAAATAAACGTTAGAGATATTTTTAAATATTTTTTTAATTTAGTCTTAAATAAATAAAAATATACTAGCTTAGTGTAAGCCGACCAGATCCATAATTAGGTGTAAATCCGACCGTTATGGATATGTTTTAAAGGGGTTGAAAAGATAGTACAAAAGATTGAATTAAGTCATCTACGTAGGCTGTATAGTGTATTGTACATGCTACTTTCCGACACACAATATTTTAGTACAACTCTATCCTTTTGCTTTGTTGTAAAGAGTTTCTGGGCAACGCGTGCGTGCATGTATTTATATTATACGTACGTATATTTAAACATACTTGTAGAAGTGAAGTGTAAAGTACATGAAATGGTTTGACCATTTGTTCATACATGAAATGGTTTGACCATTTATACATACACATTTTTCATGACGGTGCCTTATCCCATGCGAGTCCACTATTTGTTTTATTTTCTTCTTTTTTACCATTTGCATTAATCCCAATTTTATAAGCTTATAAATGCAAGTTCATTTGATTAATTTTTGTATTGCAAAGCAAGGTAGAATTTACGTATAGTAAGATTTAAATTTTAAAAGAAAAATTGTACTTATATTTTACTATATTCCTTTACATAATTTCAATCATCTACTTTCTTTAAAAATAAATTATTCATCATTAGACCTGTAAATGACCACCCGAACATTTAATAAACTGAACTGTTTGGTGGAAAGTTCATTTATGTTTGTATATGAAGAAGATTTTATGTACGTTTAATCAAAGGAATAAACATGAACAAATGACTTGTTCATTTATTTACGTTCGTGAAAGTTCAATAATCCATTCATTTATATTCGTTTATGTTCGTTCTTTTGTGTTCGTTTATGTTAAGTCTAATCTCCAGATCCGTTTAAAATATTAAGACCTAATAAATTTTAATCTTAAACCCATTAAAATTTTAAAATCCAATTGCTTTTAAACTCAAATCAACCAAAGAAAATATAAACCCTAAAGTTATTTGAAAAGAATTTTTTTCTTAAATATAAACTCAATTAATTTTATGTTCGTTCATTTACATTCATGTATGTTCGTTTACATTCGTTCGTTTGTGTTTGTTTATCATTTTAACGAACGAACACGACACGAACAAACTATGTTTCTTAACGAATAAACACGAACAAGAAATTTTGTTCGATTAATTGTTCATATTCGTTAATTTGTTCGATTAAAGTTAAATGAACAAACATAAATTATTGAATATATCTTTATTTTTATCTTCGTTCTTATATATATATATATGTGTGTGTAGAGAGAGAGATAGAATAATATTTTAGTTTAAAAATTCAATTAAAATGTCTTAATATTTTAAAATAATTTAAAGTTTGACTTGGATTAAGTTTTTATGTAAATAAAACAACATCAAAGATACAACTATTGAACATATATTGTTTCGTAAAATAAAATAATAATATCTAGAAGTACAATTGTCGTGGTGTTGTGTTGTGTCCTGTACCGTACCGGAAAAGTTTCATTCCCATTTGCATTTATCGTCACATTTCTCCAAATTTGAGCATAGAGTCTCGTGGACTTGATAAAAGTACTATTGAAATTTTTATTTTTATTTTTTTTGTATATAATAAGAGAAGACTATAAAAAAACCAAAACAAAAAAATGTAATATTATTTAAAAAAAATCTTAAAAGATAAAAATCACAGAAAAAATAAAAAAAATATTATAACCGAACAGAAGTACATTAAATCTTAAAATCTCGTATATATATATATAGATTAGAATAACTCTAATTAAATAAAAATTATATCTTAACAAAACAAGTAACACTATAAACTCGTTGAATTATATTAAAATAATTTTGAAAGTATAATAATTTAATAAATAATGATATGATAAGTGGCGCTGCATAGAGACATGGAAATTTGATAAATTCATGACAAGGTTCCAAGATTTTCCATCATTCCACTCACTGCCTTAGCTGGCTCTGCCTTTCCTCTCATCACTCTTTCATTTATTTTATTTTAACGGTAGAAAATGCATGCCACCGCCCAAGCTTGAGAATTCAATAACAAAACAAATGATCTACCGACAATAACAGTAATCATGACAAGGTTCCAAGATTTTCCATCATTCCACTCACTCCTTAGCTGGCTCTGCCTTTCCTCTCATCACTCTTTCATTTATTTTATTTTAACGGTAGAAAATGCATGCCACCGCCCAAGCTTGAGAATTCAATACCAAAACAAATGATCTACCGACAATAACAGTAAGTAATTCCTCTCGCTTATCTATTGAATTCACATCGAATCATCTGAGTCATCCGATTCGGATCCATCAGCCTCCCCGGCATTGCCACCTGTATCCGGAACTTCGGGCTTTGTGGCAGCTGCTGGTGGAGCTTTCTTATTCGTGTTACGAGCATTCTCATCACCGGCTTCACCTTGCCCATTGACATCAGCATGTAAAACACGATTAAGGCGTAAAAACAACCATACACGAATCATACAACCACGAACTCAAGACTGGACCAAATTATACGATTTGGCTTTTGGACATGGAATCTTATTCGATCGACGACAATGCTGAAATGAGATGTCTCAAAGATAATAATAACTACAGAAACATTACTGAAATTAGATGTATCAAAAGGATATCAAGATTTTCAACTGTCCCTCCAGACATGATGTTCACCAAATCTTTTTCAACACGTTGTACCAGCTCCGGCTGCAAAAAAGATGCAACAGGAATCAGTAAGGGAAAGAAACAGCCCATACCTGCACCGAGATTAAGTCACTCCCAAATAATCGGATCACGCACTCACGCCCAGCTCCATGTAAACATAGACTTCCATACAGTTTCAGATAGTTTTCTTTATCTGAAGTGCATACAAAGAGATTTTGAGAGAAAGCAAGTATATTGATACATTTAGATCAGGCTCCCTTCGGAATCTTCGCTTCCGAGCATCCCTCATTGGAGGGGTTAGACCATGTCTGTATTCCACCACATCTGGAGAAGCTTCTCCAGAATCCCTGACCAAAATCATCTATAACAATGACCTCAGTTAATATGACCATACCGAAAAGTGAAACCACCCTACATGACTGCATCCAAATAAAAAGTACCATACTTGACCGATATCAGCCGTTTTAACTAATGCACTGTCATCGTAAGTTTTGTATGATTCAACAACACAAGGTAGATCTAAGAGAGATGCAGGAAAACGTTCATTGCCAATGACAAATGTGCCAGTCCGCCCATCCTCTGCAAAATAATGAGAAGATTAATGTTCATAAATAACCTATGGTTCCAAAAAATTTACATAGATGATGTGAATAATAGAAGCACCTCAACTTTAGTAATCACTTAACACACCTCAACCTTAATAGATAAAGTCTAAACCCATTTCTCCAAGGAGATAATAAAGTTGCATGCAGTATACACTCATTAAGGACACTAATGGGCACTATAGTAGGACGGTTGGGTCATTTATGGTTTGGTAATATATATACATATATATATATACATACACAGACACACGAAGGACAAAATAGCCGTAAGTACAAGTTATCTAACCACAGATGTTTAGCTTAATTAAACTAAAGGAACCAAGAGTTTCTTAGTAATGTGTTCATGGAAAATCAGTACAAGTTCAGAAAGAACAGGAGGTGCTGCTGACACATACAAAACAGTTAGTGAGGCATTCAAATGTAAAATCAAGTGAAATCCTAACCAGAAAACTCCAAATCCAGTGATTTGTCCTCGGAAGATGAAGCACTTTCACTTAAAAGGAGATTTATGCGCTCAGCAACGGAAGGTGGAACTCTAAGTACGAATTGCTCATCCATGCCTGCTTAACGAAATGAAATATAGGAAATAAGAAAGACTAACATATTCCAAGTCAACCATCAATCTCGACACTAATAAAAAGCCTAGAAACACAATACATCATACATTCATAACAATTAAGGTAAAGGCGTCGAGCTATCATACAACTTCAAAACCAAAATCATCCAGAAAATTCTTTCAACAATCTGAAAAATTATAAGCTGCTCTTCTCTTTCCAATAGACAATTCTGCCTGTCCATAAAGATAGACAAAAAAAAAAAACATACAAGTTGGCAAAAGTCATCCATCATCCATTTTAGTATAATCTTTAGATCAAGAAACGATTAGTACTCCAACTCTCAAGTCATTCCTAGGTCTTAAAACCACTGTTTTGTTTTCTAAAATCACAAACCAGACTTTAATATCCTGGGTTCGCCTATGGCGTAAGCCTCTCGAGAGAGTTTACATAGGTAAACAGACCCTAAAACAACAAAACTATAATTAGTTATGTGTTACTCAGCAACATAAGCCTCTCTACGGGCATCTATAAATCAATTACGAGATTGCAACCTTAAAATCAACGAAAAATTATTTTTTCTCCTGCTCATATTTCCACAATATTTCCACAAACAATATTAGGCTTTTTCAACTATGAAAGCACCTAGACTACATTCTTCAAATCACTTCAATATCAAATTCTAAGCACATAAGACGCAATTAACGATTAACTTATGAAACATCAGAAATCATAAAAGATTAAAGGCGGAAAATTTAAAATACCCAATCCGGTTGGAGCCTTGTACCCGCAATTCTCACCACCTGTTCGATGAACACCACCAAAGAGAAAAACGTTTTATCTGGTTAATGTTTTAAAAGGGGGAAAGTATTCAAGTTTAACATAAATGAGCAATACCCAGAAGCGAAATCTAAAGATCAAACGATGAAGAGTTGAGGATCCAGTAAGCAAGATGGCATCCGACAGCTAAAATTTGAAGGATGTGGTTTTGAATTGAAGAGAGGTAAAGCAAAAATATTACATAAAAAGCGAGGTGAATCGCGAAACCAGTATTTATAGAAATTTGACATTAATAAATTTAAATAATTTTCCATTTATATATATATATATAATTCCATTTACGCTAATCTCTTTATTCTGTTCATAAATATTTTTTATTTATTATTGTTATTCTCATCTATATAAATTGTTTTTTTTGTTTAATAAAATAATAAGTTAATTAAACAGTTAAAATAGATTATAATAATCTCTAATATATATAAGATATAATTATAGCATTATAATAAATATTCCTTTTACTGTAAACTCGAAATCAAATTTGGTTCAAAAGTAAAATTTTAAAAGATTTAATATAAAAATAAGTGTTCAAATTGTACTTATAGTTAACTTTAGGTGCTTAAAAAAGAATTTTTCGTTAAAAATGTGTCTAACTTTTTCTCTTTTATACTTTTAAGTGTCTAACGTTTTCAACATTATATTTTTAGGTGTCTGGACTATAATAATCTTTAAAAAATATTATTATGTGACACATGTATGGGTTATAGTAGCCTTTAAATAATTCCCCATTCATATATATATATAGAGAAAATAACCTCAGTGACCGAAAATGTCTTATATTATACGATTTTAACAAACTTTTTTTGGATTTGCCAAAATGACCAACAAATTCGTAACGCGAACTCTAATTTCGCAACCCAGTTTCCAATATCGCAACGCGAATTTGTAAATCTCAACACAGAAGTTAAATTCACAACACTAATTTCAAATTCGCAACACAAAAGTCAAATTCGCAACGCGAAAGTCAAATTCGCAACGCGAAACACAATATTAATTTCGCACACAAATGTAAACAGTATTATCGCAAATCATAACCTAAAACTCTAAATCACAACTCAGTCACATCTTCATCTCTCACTCTCTACGGCGATATCTGTCCCCATCTTCGACGAAATCCGTCCCCATCTCCGGCGAAATCCGTCTATCTCCATCTCTCAGAGCAACCCTCACAACTATTCACGGTTAGAAATGGAAAATCAACCACCGAGGGTTAGTTTTTTAATCTCTTATTTTTATTTTGAAATTTTTGTATTATTATTAGATTTTTTTTATATTGATGATAAATTTACTGGTAATTTTCAATATATATAAAGATTAACCATTTCACTGAGATTGCATAGTAAATTCATTCGGTTGCTGCCAATACTGCTAAACTGTTTAGTCTTTAACCCTGTGAAGTTAGTATTTGTCTTTGTTTTGTCTTTTTGTTGAAGAAATGCAATTCATTCAAGTTTCAATTTGCAAAAGAATAGTTTTTGAAACTTAAATTCGCAATACGAAAATGAAAATCGCAACACTAAAATCGCAACGCGAAAAATGAAAATCGTAACGCGATTTTAGTTTCGCTTTGCGATTTTCATTTTCGTATTGCGAATTTAAGTTTCAAAAACTATTCTTCTGCAAATTAAAACTTGAATGAATTGCATTTCTTCAATAAAAAGACAAAACAAAGACAAATACTAACTTCACCGTGTTGCTAATTTAAGTTTCAAGAATAAACTACTACTCTTTATGTTGTCCTTGAATCTGCACTAAACCTATATGTTGTCCTTTTAAATATTTATATAAGTGCTTACTTCTGGAATGTTATTTGATGCATTTTGTGAACTATGATGGAATAATGACAGCATGTGAATACCGTGCTAGTTTGAAACATATTTGGCTTTGTTTTCACTGTTTAATATCATGTCTGTTTATAGTGTATAATTTTTAGTTTTTGGTATATCTAACTTGGTATGTTTATTGTTTTTGTAGAAATTTTTTTCGGCTGCATTGACCTTAAAGAATAAAGTAAGCCTAGCCACTAAAATTACATCGACGCTTACACCTCTACAAAGAAAATTGTTTTTGAGGATACTTGCTTAGGACCATGGCTGAAAGTACAATATACGGGTGGAGATGCTATGTTGACACATTTGTTTCTTCAGACCATGACTAACGATCTACCCGAGAGGATACAACGTGGTGATGAAGAGATATAGTTTCATTTTCCTCCGACACCGGCGTATACTTGTTTTGGGTGGGAGGAGTTTTGTTTAATCACTGGTCTACGCTTCGGACACGATGAAGTAACCTGGTACACTAGTCATATCTCTCACCCATCATGGTTATCTCGGGTCTTTCCTGAGCTGGCAAAGTCAAAGCCGAGTTTACACGTCGACGACTTGAAGAGATTATTTGTTAAAGATGGTTTTACTCAGATGTATGACCTTGATGTTGTCCGAGTATGCCATTTATTACTTTTGCATGCCAAATTTTTAGGCAAAGAGGACAAACAACCTATTTCTGAGGACCTAATATTATTGGTAGATGACCTAAATTCATGGAACCTGTTTCCGTGGGGTTCATATCTATGGAAAGCTACCTGGAAGAAGTTGTCGTCTGCCTTTGAGGACCGAAAAAGTTTGCGGGGCGATGGTTCTAAATACACTTTGACAGGCTTTACTTGGGCCTTTAAGGTAAGAATTTCTATATAATGTTTCCAAAATTATAATTAATTATTTAACAATTACTATTGTTTGTGTATTATATGTTTGTAGATTTGGATATTTGGCTTTCCCCAAATGCGGACATATGCGATAAAAAGATCAAATGATATTTCCTAGGGCTATTACCTGGAAGAATAACAAGTTATTACTAGTACAAGTTTAACTTTGTTTGAGCTTTTATATTGTTAGGAGGCCAATTATCCATTACAAAGGCTGACACCCACAGAGGCTGAGCTTACCACTGATTGGTGGCAAGCTAGTAAGTGGTTTTTTTGATGGGACGGATGATGAGCACCCCCCACTTCGAGAGCCATCACCTGATCGGGTCGATTCTACAGCTCGACACCCGGAGCCATCACCTGATCGAGCCTCTTCTCCACCTCCACCATCACCTATTCCATCACATCATCGAGCCTCTTCTCCACCTGTTCTCCACCTCCACGGATGAGTTACGGAGTACGTGATGATTAAGTGCTTTGCGTCATGAGGTCGGTACTTTACGTGAAGATAATGGTGCTGGCGTGATGAGGTTCGGTCTTTACTTGGTAGGTGATTTTTACGCGATGGCAATGGTGCGCTACGTGGTGAGGTATCTACTTTACGTGATGAGGTTGCCACTCTACATGAGATTATTTTATCGTTGCAGAATGAGGTTCATACTCTACGCAATGAGGTAAATTTGTTTAATACTATACTAAAAATGCAAATAACTTTTTTTTTGACATTATTTATTTATTTATTTACTGATTTATGTATTAATTTATTTTCAGCGGCCCGATAAGATAGATGTTTTATGTTGGGTTTTTCTTGCACGATGGTGTTCACGCATCATACGTCGTACACGTGCCATTACGTCTCCGTTCACCCCGTTAGTGCCAAGACTCCGTAAGAAGAAGCCCGATGCACCTTCATCGTTCAAGAGGCCCCTTCTCGTCAAGAGGCCCCTTCCACCGTTCAAGAGGCCCCTGTCATCGTTCAAGAGGTCCCGCCGGCCGTTCAAGAGCCCGATTCACATGGCGTCATATGTCGACATATTGATAAACCCTTCTCATGCCCGATATGATGGATGCGAGTTGGCTTTCATATGTTTTACTGGCAAGTACCATTCCTCAGTAGGAGAGGGAAACACTACCAGCCAATTACGGATAATACCCTTTGGGCTAAGACCGCAGTTGATTTTTATCTACATGAGCGGAGCAATGGGTGTTATTCTGACCTATGTCAACTCGACAATGTTATGCATTTGTTTCTTGAACGATCTTGGAGGGGTATTTTATTAGGGGTTGAAGATAATGGCTATCTCGAAAGGGTGGTAAGTCTTATATTCTTCTTATATTGCATTTTGATTAATTTTTTTAAAATTATTAATAAATTCACTAATATATGTATTTTTTTTATAAAACAACATATTGATGCGTGGGTGTCACGTCTTCTAATAATAAGAAATTGAGGAAATAAGAAATACTCGATGGCCTATACCGACGTAAGGTTTTCATAAATTTTATTTGATGTGTGCAATTATTTATGATTGCAGGTGTTTATCCTTGTTTTGGAACGTCGTCTTTGGCTTCTCGTTGAGCTTCAGCTCCCATCCCTGAAGACAATGGTATATGACAGCATGTTGAATTATATATCATTATCTGATTTGAGAGATATTATTTGTAAGGGATGGAGCGCTCATTTGGCGAAATACTTGGACGTGATTGATTATTGGACTAATTCTGGAAATAAGAAGCCAAAAAAGTTCAAAGTTACAATGATCAGAGACGATACCGCGCCACAAAAAACGGAGGGAGCCAGAGGGGATTGTGGTTCTCTTGTATGCATGTGTTTGGAGCGTTTGACGACAGGAAGTAAACACCTTCTACCTCCCACAGATAGAGATAGAGCTACAGTAGGTTTATGGTTTTGACATTTTATGGCTCGAGCGATATATGCGAGACGTTGCCTACCTGCATCCGCGTGCTGAAAGTTTGCATAAACAATTGGTAAGTTTGAGCAAGTGTTGTTAACATATATACTCTTTGTTGGTTTGAAAATGTTTGGTTAAGTACCTAGAATTCAATAATTTGTTGTTTGTTGGTTTTAGATGTGTAGAAAGTGTTGTTTGAGCAAATGTTTGGTTTCTGCAAGTTATTCCTGACGTGACATGCGTGAAATTGATGTATTTGTGCATAAACAACAGTCTGGGGTACACTTTTTTTGCTTTTTTAATTGAATTTTACATTGAAAGTTGATTTGTTTAATTGATAAGGAAATAAGAATTATTTTTTGCTTGTTTAATTGATTTGTAAAAGTTGATTTTTTTTAATTTTATGTGTAAATAAGAATTATTTTTTTGCTTGTTTAATTAATTTGTAAAAGTTGATTTGTTGTTTTAAATTCAATCTGCATTATGTTGAAGGCAAAAAAGGCATGTTGAAGGTACAAATTTGCAACGCGAAAGTCAAATTCTTGTTGCGATTTTCTGTT